CAGTAACAAGATAGAGAGAATACAACTAGTGTCGTGACAATTACAAGTGCTGAAACAACTCTGCCTCCGCATCTTCCTCGGCTCACAGCCCAGTTTAATGTGAGTTTTTTGTGTCATTTTCTGTTTGGGTTTTGTGTGAAATTGATGAGGATTCAGAATGCCAATTACATGCAGATTCCCAATTTTCTTCGATGGTTGCTCTTGTATTTTAATATTCTGATCTTGAACATCATTTTCTATTGTCTCGACGGGTTTAGATGAACCTATGATTCTCCTGATATCACTTGAAAAATTAAGTCTATCACTGCTTTGATTTGTTTGGTCTTCAACATCATTTTCCTTTGGTGTTGACAAATCGTCGAACACTTGGGGGATCTTTGTGCCTGAACTGTAAGTTTACCTGGCAGTCCCAACTAGGGCTGTAAAAAGTTGACCCGACCTGCAAAACTGACTTAAATCGACTCGAGTCAAAACTGTTTTTGACCTGCATTGTGGCGATCCGAAACCGACTCGAGTCGGAACTGGTGTCGACCTGAACCCGATTTGAACCTGGAAATTACGGATCCGAACCCGACCTGCATCCGACCTGAGAATGACCTGAACCCGAATTAAACCGAAAATATGATACCCGAACCCGAACTGCATCCGACTGATATGAACCCGAACCCAAGATTGACCTGGTAAATAACTGGTATTACCCGACCTGTTTTCAACCTGACATGTTTTTAACCTGACCTGTTTTTAACCTGACCTGTTTTTAGCCTGACATGTAAATGATCCGACTTGTTAATGACTTGATCTGATATTTACTTGACTTATATATTACCATGGACGAAATTATAAGATTTTAATAAAATTATGAGCTTTTTTAGTTTATGATGTAATTAAAAAATTAATATGATTACATTTTAAATGTTATAATAAAATATTTATTATGATAATTAAATTAATAAATAGACCTATTATATAAAATTATTTAATAAAATTAATAAAATTAATAAAATTATTTAAATGTAAATTAGTTAAAACCTGATTAATAATGCAAAGGAAAATATTAATAATGAAAGTATTTATTATGTAATATATATTAATGTTTTACATGATTAATATAAATAATTTTGGCAATACATTAGTTTACATAGGTCCAATACATAAGCTCACTATTTTATTATAAATATATATGTATTAGTGCTAGTCCATTTATATTATGGTTTATGGTTTAGTGTTTAGTGTTTATGGTTTAAAGTTTATGGTTTAGGATTTCTTTAAATTATATACTTTATTACTTTATATAGTTTATGCATAGTATTTCTATAAATTATATAAGTAATTTATTTTATATAGTTTATATATATATATACTATACATATATATAGTTTATATATACTATACATGGTTTATACATACATATTATATAAAATTATTTAATAAAATTATTTAAATGTAAATTATATAAAACATGATTAATTAGGTGTTAAATAATTAGCATGTCACATTGCATATTATATGGTTCATAAATAGTAGTACATGTCATATTAATTTTATTTGCATGATTAGTATTTTAGTTGCATGTTAGGTTAATTCACATTAATAGTCTATTTATTTTGTTATTATGAATAAATAATAATAAAACTAAAAAATAAGTCCATTTGCAATAATGCTAGTCCATTTGTAATAGTTTACATAGGCCCAATACATAAACTCACTCTTTTATTACAAATATATATGCATTAGTGCTAGCCATTTACATTAGGGTTTGTGGTTTAGTGTTTATGGTTTAAAGTTTATGATTTAGGGTTTATGATTTAGGGTTTCTATAAACTATATAAGTAATATACTTTATATACTTTATATATATATATATAGAACTCACTCTTTTATTACAAATATATATGCAGTGCTAGCCATTTACATTAGGGTTTGTGGTTTTTTTATGGTTTAAAGTTTATGATTTAGGGTTGATTTAGGGTTTCTATAAACTATATAAGTAATATACTTTATATACTTTATATATATATATATATAGTTTATATATATTATACATGGTTTATACATACATATTATATAAAATTATTTAATAAAATTAATAAATTATTAAATGAAATATAAAGCATGATTAATTAGGTGTTAAATAATTAGTATGTCACATTGCATGTTATATGGTTCATAAATAGTAGTACATGTCATATTAATTTCATTTGCATAATTAGTATTTTAATTGCATGTTATGTTAATTCACATTAATAGCTCATTTATTTTGTTGTTATGAATAAGTAATAATAAAACCAAAAAATAAGTCTATTTGTAATAGTGTTAATCCATTAACATTAGTTTACATAGGCCCAATACATAAGGCCACTCTTTTATTATAAATATATATGTATTAGTGTTAGTTCATTTCGAAAAATGAATGATGAAACTAATATTTTTAAAAGAAAATTTGAATGACAAAAAAAAAACACATGGAAAGTTGGGTGACTAAAAGAATGGTTTTTACTCCCAGATGATTGTGTCTTCTTTTGCCGCCACAAATCGAAAACAAACGAAATTAAAAACAAAATATTTGCTCTGTTCCCGGCTTCTCTTCCCACCAACTTCAAAACCCTCTTTTTCAATTCAAATCTGAAATGAAATACCCTTTTAAATTCTAAAACCAAAACCCAATATTTGATTCTTCCACTAAATCTCCAACAAAACCTAAAGAAAAAAAATTATTTACTTTTTAAATGTAATTAAAAAAATATGATTACTTTTTAAATTTTATAATAAAAATATTATGATAATTAATTAATAAATAGACCTATATTAAAATTATTCAAATATAAATGAGATAAAACGTGATTAATAATGCAAAGGAAAATTAATATAGTTTAATTTAGAAAATTATATAGTTTAATTTATATAAAGAAAAAATAATTAATAATGAAAGTATTTATTATGTAATATATTAACATTTTACATTATTAATATAATAATTTGGCAAGACATTAGTTTACATAGGCCAATACATAAATCCACTCTTTTATTACAAATATATATACATTAGTGCTAGTCCATTTATATTAGGGTTTATGGTTTAGGATTTAGTATTTTGGTTTAAAGTTTAGGGTTTAGGGTTTAGATTTCTATAAACTATATTTTTATTTTTATATAGTTTATGCATAGTATTTCTATAAACTATATAAGTAATTTACTTTATAGTTTATATATACTATACATGGTTTAACTACATGTACTATAAGTTACATATATAGTTTAGGGGTTAGGGTTAAAGGTTTAGGGTTCACAATTTAGAGTTTAGGGTTTAGAGTTTAGGGTTTTTATAAACTATATAATTTATTACTTTATATAGTTTATGCATAATATTTCTATAATATATATATATATATATATATATATATAATCTATAGATTACTTATATTAGTTATACATACATATATATACTATATTAATAATTTATAAACTATATTTTATATAGTTTATATACATATATATATAGAAAATTAAAAGTAATTAGAATGTATACATGATTAAATTGCATCGAATTGAAAATTCAAGAAGATATTTACAATTAAACCATGACTAAAATGAAAGAAATCAAAAATCAAATACAAGTGAAAAAATGATGATTGTTGGAGAAGCATGTGTCTAATTAACCCAAAATATCTTTCCAAATAAAATCTAATTATCAATTTCCTTCCAAAATTTTCTATTCCCTCTAAATTTCTCAATTTCCCTCTAAATTATCAATTTCCCTATAAAAAATTTTCACACAAAAAAATCTTTATTTTAAAAAATTTTCTCTCACCACTCACTTTGAATAATATATGTATATATATATATATATTAATATAAATTATAGTTTATACATATATAGTTTACATATATAGTTTATATATATAGTTCATATAAACATAATATATATATATAACTTATAATAATTATATAGTTTCTAATATAAATATAGTTTATATATAAACTTATATTATATATATTATATTTTTTCAATTTTTTAAATGAATGCAATTTATTATATTTTTCATTATTTCTTCACATTTTTCATTTATTTCGATTTAATCTTTTTTTTTGTTTTTTAATTTATTTCAATTTTAAGTCTTTCACTTTTATATGTATTCAATTTAGTTCTTAAATTTATATTTGCATCTTCATTTGGCCCATTGTTAACTGTTATTTATATTTTGTAACTGGCCAATAATTTTTTAAATGTGTTTAATTTAGTCATTTTTATATTAATTTAAACCTCACATTTTAAATATATTTTGATTTAGTCCCTTACCTATGTGTGTTGTTTAATTTATATTTTAAAACTTTATTTGTAATTTTACATTTCTTCAATTTTGTCTTTAAATTTATATTTTTTACAAAACTGATCCATGAATATTTATTTTTTCTCTTAATTTACTCGAAATCATATACAATTACAACTTGCAATTTAACAATCACGAAAGATGACAAAATAATTAATCAAAAAATAAAAATGACCCGACCTGAACTCAATCTGTATCTGGTAAACATCCGACCTGAATTTTATCTGTCAATAATGTGACTCGATCTGAACGAGATCCGACTGAAGTCCACCCGAACCTGAATTAACCTGGTCTTTATCTGCTTCGGACCTGAACTGACATCGATCCGAACTAAAAATGACCTGACCTGAACCCGATCTGGATCTGGTGTCAAATCAATCTGAAAATAACCCGAACTGATTTGACCTGACCTGAACCCGATCTGGATCTGGTGTCAAATCAACCTGAGTTGACCTGTACTCGATTTTACCCGACCTGCCAAGATCCGACTGAAACCTGACCGATTACCTGATTTTACAGCCTTGGTCCCAACTACATGAAACATGCGTTCCCGGTCAGTTATCTTTTTATTTTGATGAGGCAGAATATATCGTTTTTTTTCATTTGATGTTGAATTATATTTAATTCTTTACAGCATGATGAGTTGAAGCCTCTTACCAAATGCTTCACAGATTCCTTTTGTGAAGAAGGGTTTATCTCTGTAAGATCCTTTTCCATTTCATAGATTCTTTGATCTTTAGTTTACAATATTACGTTTCCTGATTACTCGTGCGCTTGAAATAATGACTGAATGAGTAAATCACAAAATTAGATGTTCTATGCTGTACTCATAATTGCTAGGTTTACAAATTCATGACATTTTTTGTTTGATCATCAAATGAATTACTATGTTCTTTTACCAACCTTTGACTTGTTTGAGTGACTTAATTAATGTTTATGTCAGCCATAAGGACCGGTTTATGGCATCACTGCCTTCTTCAAGGCAGGCGAGTGCAGACTTCACCAGACCAGTGTTCACTGCTGTGGCATTTTACTTATGTGCAAAAAAACATAAGGTAATGCACATTTAATCATTCTATAAAATGCTTTTATTCCTCTATTCTACTTGTTTTTTGACATAAACTCCATACTTTCCAGCTGAAGATTGACAAGGATAGGTTGATTGAGGTTTGCGGAACCTCTGAATCCGAGTTTTCTTGTATAAGTAACATGGTTTTTTACCTACATATTACCCATCTATTGTTAATTTGTAAATGTTTAGTGCCCTGAGCATTTATTTGGAACTTTCAATACAGGTTTCTACCTCCATGAAAGATCTGTGCCATGATGTTTGCGGAACACCCCTTCTTTACAGCTTGAATTATATAAAACGCTGGCTTGTGTTATCTAGTGTTTGAGTATCATATATTTATTTCCAATCGATGTTAGCTTAGGATGTAAAATGGTGAAACTGTTTGACCCCTTAGGCAGTGTTGTTGCTATGAATTATTTTGAAAAATTAGAATCCAAAAACCGCACAAATTCAAACCGAATCAAACCGCACTAAATTGGATCGAATCGGATCGGATTTTTTTTAGAAACATCCAAACCGCAAAAATTTATACTTTCGGATCGGATGAATTTTTAGTCAAAATCCGATCCAAACCGACCGCGAACACCCCTAGTGTATATGCCATTCTCGACATCACAGGTTAGCTATAGCTCTAACGAGAGAGATGGCTACGCTTCGCATCCTCAACAGACAGCATTTTTATGGCTTGAGGGCAGTCAGATTGCACAATGAAGCTCTTAATACCAGTGTTCCATGCAACAACGCTACCTCCCCCAGAGCTCGGCCTGAAGAATGGAACTCACCCCACCGGTTTTGCGAAAGCCAGCAATACAAACCGAATAACCCCTCCAATCGAGCCATTCCCACTGTTTAGCGAGACTGCCCTGTCTGTATTCAAGCAAGTCCAGCGTAGTTGGGGTTTGGTCCACGTTGGTTGTTGAATCGTTTGTCATTTCCAATCAATATCTATTTTTTCTCCTCTCGATATGAAAAATAATTTACAGAAAGTATTCTTTTAAAATAATGAATCTCAATTGCTACCTTTTGTTCATTTCAGTTTAATAGTAATAAATAAATGTTTAAAGGATATTATGAACACTTAAAAAACCAATATCTAAAGAATATGAAATTTAAATTACCAAACCTATAATAAATCTTACATTATTTTTTAAAAACCTTTTCCTAAATTTATTGACATAAAATTAATAATTTAAAATCACATAATGGCCATACAAAATAATTAAAAAATTTAACCAAAATTCAAACGAGATAAATACAAACAGATTTAATTACATCAATAAACGAACCTCAAAAAAATCAAAATCTTAAAAAACCATCAATTGTTTGGAGTTTTGACTCCTCACACTCTATTTTTTTTTTAAATTTTTCTAGGTTCTCATTTCTAATTTCTAATTTATATTTTTTTCTTTTCGTTTTTGTCAATCTTCTATATTTTTTTCCTTTTCATTTTTGTTGATTGACGTTACACTCTAATTTTTTTTCTAGCTTCTCATTTCTAATTTATCATTTATATTTTTTTCTTTTCATTTCTAATAAAAAAAATGAAAAACGTGATAATAGTTGTTTTTCATTTTCTTCTTGATATCTATTATCATGTTTTTCATTTTTTTTTGATTCGTTTTCTAGTTTTTTTTTCCATTTTCTTGTTGACATCTTTTATCACGTTTTTCATTTTTTAATCAAAATAACGTTTATCTATTATCTATCATGTTAATCATCTTTAGATTGGTTTATCTATTAATGCTAATCTTCCTTGGATTGAATTGTCAATCAAATTGACCCGAGATTAAATTTGGATACTTACATTATATTCCTAAATTGAATTTGGATACTTAAATTATGTTCGTGAATAATTTTTTTTCTAATTTCTCTTTACTTAAATAATTGAAAATAAGAAATTTTTTTCTTCAAATCTCTCACTACTTAAATAATTAAAAATAAGATTTCCCCCCAAATCTGTCCCTAAATAATTGAAAATAAGATATTGTCATTAAAATGTTTGATAACACATCTTTGATATCTACGTATCTCCAACATTTCTCATATTTTTAGTACATTATTTTTCTTTATTTTCCTCTGCCCTTCCCTACTTAAAGAGAAGGATATCATTTCAAAATTTAGTAAAATATCTCACTTTAAAGTTTAACTCTTCAAGTTAAATTAATGGCCACTAATTTGATAATATTTAGTGTAATAATATACCTATAACAGAAAGATTCTATGGGCAACAGGCCGTTAATGTACATATAAAGAAAGATTAAGACTAAACCGAAGGTGAAACGTTTTTGCTTAAAACATAATACAAAATCATCACATCTTCGCTTCCCTCGAGTTAATTGGGTACGTGAGTTTGATGCCTGGCTTTCTCCTTCTCCTTCACTTCCCTCCCCTGAGCCTTGTCATAATCTCCATGTACAAACAAATTCAAAAACTCATTTCCATTAAAGCACACAAGAAAGAAGAATCAAATTTGTGGCTAGCCTTGGAAGTAGATTTTACCTGGATCTCGTTCTCTGTTTTTTATCAGGTAAACTATCGTTCCCTCCATAAATTCCTCCGAATCCTTCTTCATCTGACCTCGTGTCATATCCTTCTCCAAATGAATCAGACATCACGTCCCTTAAAAACACAGATTTAAAACAAGTCGGAGCTTATCAAGAAAGAAACCGTTTTAAACCAAAATCTTGATCAGATGATGTTTGGTTGATACTAACCCGGGTTTTTCTTCAGGGTTTTCGTCTTTCCGGTCCATTCTTTCTGGTTGCTTGGAAGAACAGCTCGTGGTGATGGTAGGCCTGAAGCTGCTCAACGAGCTTCTGTGGTGGCTTAGAGAAGATTGGAGAGATGGGGTGAAAACGGAAGGAGGCTAAGCTCGAACTGATCGGATTGCATTCATTTTGGCCTTACTACTCATTCGACTTGTGTAAAATGTTGGTGGACACGAGTGGAGTGGAACGTAGGTTACGTGCTCTCTCACCGCCAACGCTAAAAGCTTGATACGGTGGATAACGAGGCCCACCAATCGCCGAGGGACAACCAAATGGCTTTAGCGACAACGCTATTCCTAAGCCTCTAAGATTTCGACACCCATTCAGTCGTGCATGTCAACGGTTATGGCAAAAATATATATAATGAAAAAATAGCCTGGCTTAATAGTAAATAGCTAGTTTGAGTTATAAATTCTGTTTTTCTCATGGTTAAAACACTGAACTTTATATTGGATTATACTGATAACTAATATAATTTTTAAGATTCAGACAAAATGTCTACGTTAAATCTATAAAAATTAAATAATTATGATGTTCGAATTCAATATTTTAAGGATAACAATAAGTCTTTTTAATTATTAAAATCTTTCAATAAATGATTAAATGTAAATAGTTATATTGTAAATATGTAAAGTATGTGTTATTTTGATTTTAAATCGAATCGATATCAAATAATTTAATTTTTTATTTTGATTAAAATTTTAGCATCTTATTATCATTTTAGTGTATTAAATATAGTTCGATTAATATTGTATTAGTGCACATCAACCATATCAATTAGAGTAAGATTTTAATATTTTAAAGTTATATATATGAAACCCCAAAGTACTCGTTGCCTTTGGAAAGGCCGAATGGAAAAGGCGTGCTTCGGATCGGGAGTAACCACTAGTGATAGGACGGGGGAAGGACAAAGGAAAGAGCGATGCCTACATTAAATCAATTGGTCCAGGAATCGATTCGAGGCTTGAACGACACACAAGAGCTAATAAGCACGAGGTTGGCCGCCTAATAATCCTGGATCTTCCCATTTTCAAGAAGATCTCGGGGGAAGTGACGTCCATTTTTTGGTAATAGGTATACTCGAGAAAAAAGTTTTGAATTCGACGATCATAGACTTCTTTTTTTTTGTTTCGGATCCCCTTTCTACATTCAACTATTTTATTGAATCTGATGTGAAATCACTATCATTACATATTCATTGTTGGTTTGGCTGCTGGTCTGGTGATCCTTCCTACCCGCCTAGAGTGCAGCCTGCTTGCTGAAGATCGTAACTAACGTAACTCAATGCTATATATATATATATATTAACAATCAATTGGTTTAATAAAATGCAGTATTAGACTTTTTAAGTAAGACCAGAAGTTCAAATCTTGATAACTGCAAATGAAGTAAACTTGAACTAACTTTATTGTTATAATAATATTTTATTAAATTATTAATTTTTTTGATAATTTTAAATTTAACCTTAATCCTATTTTAGAAGGGAGGAAAATGAAGATTTTAGGTAAAAGAAGAGGAATGCTATTAGTGAATTTAGAATATGTGACCTAATAAACACTCGTACTCCTGACATATTCAATGCTCGAATCATTTAATAATAAACACTTGTACTTTTAATATACACTATGTTTAAATCCGAGACTTCAAAAAATAACAATAAGTTTATTAATCATTAAGATTGTTTAATTCATGCAACCACGATGAAACTTTGGATAACATAATATGTTATCTATTACAAACCTGGATGGTTTGAGAAAACGACTAGTTAGTTATATGAAAATAACATATAAACACAAAAAAGAACCGTAAACAAAAATACAAGGGCAAAGAAAACTATGTGCACCCTTGAAAATAATATATGAAGTTTTTTCTCTCTTTTCCTTTCACACCAAACAAGGTATATTGGCTGAAAATATGGAGTTATTTTTCCATTGCCGTTTCAATATAAAATCGGTTTCTTTTCTTCTCCAATGCTCTCATTTCACAGGCATATTGTTTGTTTCGTTGTACAAAGAAATGTGAAATGTTACAGGTTCTCAGTGTCTGCCAAATTACCATGGGCTTTCATGTATGGTGTTGTGAAGTTGTACCATCTCCTTCGCTGACCAAGATCAATTTACAGGATGTCTGAATGTGTCCAGTTTGCGGAAACGGTAATAAGCCATCAGTGAGCAGCTCGTATGATGAATCAAACTACTTTCAGTGCCATAAAAGGTTCACATAGACAAGGGTAATAGAAATTTTCTCTCCCTCTTCTTGACCAGAGCCTGCCTATAACCTCTCAGACATATTGGAAGAAATATACAGAGGCATATAGTGATCAAGGAAAGCCAGAAGTGCCGAAAATAAAGCGACAAATAGGACAATATGACTAACACACTAAATACAAAGGCACAAAAAATAGACACAGCTACATCTGCCCTGCATAAAACGAACAGAATCACATCAAGAACATGTAAAAGTTCATTTTGCAACCGAAGTAATGCAAGAGAAATGCTAAAAGGAGACATGATATGTTACAATGTCCACATAAGGAATTTTTGTGTGAACAACATGAAACCCTTTCATATCAATGATGAAAGACGAGGACAGTGTGTAAGATTAAGCAACGAATTGTATGTTCTGGCACATTGAGAGATCATCAATAAAGACCATTGTTCTCAACAGAAATCCAGGTGATTCATTTCGACCGTCTTCAAACTAAGTTCATTCCTCCCATATATTTCAGTAGCAACAATGAAAGCAGGTCTAGTTTTTTTTTCCTGAGCTATTATTAAGTTGTTTTTCACCAGTGAAAGAGGCTTCGAAACCCAATGGATATATGCTTAACGAAGACAACAATTTACATCTGTGACAACTGAAACTCTTGTGAATCGATTAAACACTTAGAAGATAAAATCACAATAACTAGAAATGACCTAACACTCTTCGAGTCCTCTTTCAATTGCATGGAATCCATCAATGGACAGCGACAAAACAATGATTCTTTCACAATGTTTAAAGCTTGAAGAAATTACATGCAATGATCATCTTAATAACTTCACAAAAACAGTAATTTTGGATGGTTTGTTTTGAATGTTAAGAGGAAATTTTTATTCAACCTAGCAAGACAACCCCAAATTCTCAAAAGTCAAATCTTTTACAGAAAAATTCAAGATGATTAACTTAAAAGCCATTCTTTGGATGTAACAGTAAACTTCAAAACAAGATTCCATAGTCTGTTTCAAGTTAAATGCATTTGAAGAACATATTAATTCTATCCAATTGCTGAATAGAGCACAATAATTTTCTTGACAATGAACTCTTAGAAGCTTAATTTGCAAAATTTTCAATTTCTTCAACTCAAAATTAGCTATTAACCAGCAAAATGATCATTGAAGTTGGAACTCGGTACAATAACAAATTCTCAACATTTAAAATTCAATTATTCGTGAAGTTCGCATAAAAAGCAAATAGTTTTCATAAACTACTCTCTTTGTCAAGACAAATGAAAAAAAAGTTTAGTCTTTCTGATTACAAATAAATCAAACAAGCACTCGTGTACTGAAAAATACAATAAAAATGCAAAATATACGCTTTAAAATACTTATAAGTAAATAAATTAACAAATACGAAAAGGAAGATAAAAAGAAAAACGTACCGGGAAGCGATATGGGGTTTGGGAGAGAAAAAGATAAGAGCAGGGTAGGTGTTTTGAGATCGGATCTGGTAATCTCTGAGTTGCTCAACGAGTTTAGACCGAGTTATCATTTCGTGAGAAGCGGGTATCTTTCTCCTCCGATCTTTGTAAGCAAACGCTTGAACCAGAGTGTATTCCTTGTCTGAGTTTTGCTGGCACTGGAATTGTATGATAAATTGAATCAAAGGCAGGAAAGAAGTGAAAGAGTGGGAGCAAGCAGTGAAGCTTGGGGTTCGCTTTCGTTTACAGTGAATTTTCGATGATTTTGGAGTGACCGTGAGGTGGGTAACTGAATGTTCTTCTCCGATTGGGGTTGAAGAGGATCCCAAACCTGGGGATATCGACAATCGAAGCGAATTGATGCCCCTTTTGTATAAATAATGGGGTTGTCTGATTGTCTCAGCAAACGCATATTAATATTCGACTAATATACGGCTTATCAGTTATATTATAATATATTTAATAAATTCGTTAAAACGCTATCGGAGATGTTGAATAATAATAATACTGTAAGTGGAAATCATGAAAAAATATTAAAAAATTTAGCAACCGACAAACTTAGCTTGTCGGTATGTGTCGATACAAATAAAAATGTGTCGATCCATAACAATATAACATATAAAAATATGACAAAACAAGTTTCATTATAACAAAACCGGTAAAGCGCTACCGGTTAAGTTATCCTTGGTAACATTTTAGGCGTTTACCTAATATGTTGTAATAACAAATTAAGTAATTAACCTATTTTATTATATAAGCGCTACATATTACGTTATAAAATCATTACCTAATATGTTATTATGCTTGATAATGTTTCAAGTAATTAACCAATTATGTTATCATTGGTAATATTTTAGGCGTTTACCTAATATGTTGTAATAACAAATTAAGTAATTAACATATTTTATTATATAAGCGCTACCTATTACGTTATAAAGTGTCGATACAAATAAAAATATATTGACCCATAACAATATAACAGGTAAAAATATAACAAAACCGGTTTCATTATGACAAAACCGGTAAATCGCTACCGGATATGTTGAATGTGTCGATACCATTGAAATAAGTATCGAAACTTTTGGAATTTAAAAGAGAAGCAATAATAGCGCTATAAAGTGTCGATACAAACTTAGCTTATCGGTATGTGTCGATACAAATAAAAATATGTCGATCTATAACAATATAACATATAAAAATATGACAAAACAAGTTTCATTATAAAAAAACTCGGTAAAGCGCTACCGGTTATGTTATTCTTGGTAACATTTTAGGCGTTTACCTAATATGTTGTAATAACAAATTAAGTAATTAACCTATTTTATTATATAAGCGCTACCTATTACGTTATATAAGCGCTACCTAATATGTTATTGTGCTTGATAATGTTTCTAGTAATTAACCGGTTATGTTATCATTAGTAACATTTTAGGCGTTTACCTAATATGTTGTAATAACAAATTAAGTAATTAACCTATTTTATTATATAAGCGCTATCTATTACGTTATATAAGTGCTACCTAAAATGTTATTTAACTTGATAATATTTCCGGTTAAATGATATAACATAACCGATATACATTTTAATCGGTCACTTATTTAACCGGTCACGCCATTTTTTAACTGTCGCACAGCAAAACATCCCTATAAATAATGCTTTTTTTAATTTGTAATAGGCTAAATATATATGAAATAAATATAGGATTGTGTATGGATTTTATTATTAATTTTAAAATATTTTGAGTATGATTCCTTATCGAGCGAGTAGATTAAGAGTTGGGCAGTGCTCGACTCGTGCTCGTTAAAAAAATTTATTGCTCGATACGATTCATTGCTCGTTAAAATTTTGCTCGACTCATGCTCGTTATAAAAATTTATTACTAAACTTGTTGCTCGTTAAACTCATTAAAATTTTACTCGAATCATGCTCGTTAAAAAAATTTGTTAGTTGAATCGTTGATTGTTAAACTCACCAAAAGTTATATTTTATTTTTTTAATTGTAAGTAAAATCTACTAATACAATATATCACTTATTATTAACATTAATTAATAAATTTAACCAAAAAATCATCAAAAGAGTGTATGAAACAAATTCAAAGTCTAAATATATTTAATAGATTAATATTTTATCATATTTTTAAAGATAATTACTAAACATTAATAAAAAAAAATTAACAAGTTACTCGTAAATTTATCGAATCAAGTTGGACTTTGCTCAATTCAATTCGTTAAAATCTCGAGTCTAATCAACTCGAATCAAATTTTATCGAATTTTGACCGAGTCGAGTTCGAACTGCTCACAAGCTACTAAACTCATCAATCACTCCTAAAATTTTGAGTAAGTTAATTAAGTGGTTCAACTTGATTCTTCTATATTCTTTAAGATAACGAGATTTAAATTCATTAGGAACATTTTATTTTTTTCTTTAAAATATTTCATTCCCTTTTATTTTAAATAAGAATAAGATTAAATTTAGAATTTAATGTATAAATTTTAAGATTTTATTATAATTATTAAAAATTAAATTTAATTGAAATATTAAATTATTCATAATTGAATGATGTGGTAGGTTGATATTGATGTTTAATTGTATACTGATATAGAAATCACAAAAAATATTTTATATTTCCGCCCATCATCTTTCTCATAAATCTTAGGTTTTTTCATCAACTTTTAACCTCGTTTAACTTTTTCTATTGTTTTTATTGGTTTATATTTTTTATAATCTTTTTTAAATCCATAAATCTATTACTTGTTGGAGTTTTGATTATTTGTTCCAAAATTTAAATGGTGGCAAATAATTTTTTTCGAGAAGAGGTATAACATAAATCGAAATAATCTCATCAAATAATCGTAGGGGGATTAGAGTTTTAAAACATCGAACCTTTAGGTGAGTTTTTTATAATTAATTTTAAGTAGATTTCATGAAAAATCAATGTGAGGAGAAAGCTTATTGATTTGTAAACGTTTTGATACTCCGATCTTGCCACGAATAATGACTAGTGTCGGATTATGATTGACCAATAGCGATGATCGAAGGAGCCGACAACATTTTTAAAAAAACAAACTGATATGTAAAAAACATTTAGTGTTAAAATTAAATCCTTTTAAAGAATAATGATAAAATTAACACAAAATAAAATTTGTGGGGGAAGAAATAATTATGTCACCAAGACGTTAACAATTCTATAACCCAATACGTTAATTGAACATGAGATTAAAGTTCAATGTTTATGTTTTTTTTTTGTAAAATGGTATTTTGTATTGAGAAAATTACAAAGTAACCACTCCACGGACCTCGTTAAAAAACCTCCCTATGCCTAGTAGGAGGAAAAAGAGTCCATCCTAGAGTGGAATGACCATGAATGGAAGACTGAAAAAATCAGCAATAAAATGAAATTATGACAGTGAACACACTGCATAATTCCGGTACAAACCAACGCAACAAAAACAGAAGCAAAAATTCCGAGTTGGCAGCTCAAAATAAAATCCAAGCAGAGCACCACTAATCTCAACTAAACTGCTGCGAATGAAAGCAAACTTAGACCAAAAACAGAAAGCAAATTGGGTAACCAACGGTTGGGCACACAGCAGAAGCAAAGCAGCAGCTGGGGATGCCAAACCAAAACTGGGAACGCCATTAACCGCAACCACAGACAAAAGCAGTCGGATTTTGGATAAAATCCGACACCACAGGATAAGAACGTGGCCATAAATAATTCGCCCATAATCCTATCAGCAATAAAGCTTTAAGACAAATTTGATCCGCCGTAAACGAAGCCCCATTAAATCTGGCATTATTTCTACAGATCCAGACTGTCCAAATCAGACCGAAGAAACCAAGACGCCACAGCGGCTTTACTCTCGGTCTAACGCGTTGTGCGAACCAAACCTCAATCAATAGTTTAACATTCTTAGGAAAAACTAAATTAACATTCCACACAATGCACCATCTTTGCCAAGCATTCCAAACTACAGAACAATGACAAAGTGCATGATTTACCTCTTCCGGCACAAGCTTACAATGGTGACAGCATAACTGATCGGTGCAATTAACACCCCTTTTAATTAGCTCCACCATAACAGGCAGTCTTTGGTGCACTGCTTTCCACACAAAGGCCGAGATTTTAGGAGGTTATGTGGGTCTACCCTATATTATTATTATCTTTGATTTTTTTTAAAACATGTTCTAGTCATAAGAAAATTACCAAAAATTAACAACTTAAATTTAATGTATAATCTAATATGATCATTTGATTAGATGGTTTAGATTTACATTCTAATGATATGATATTCGAGTAAGCTCTCTCTCTCTATATGTATTGTCTTCCTATTAAGCCGCTAGCATTATTACAAATCAAATTGACTCATGGATGACATTGTTTATTGTAGCGTTATTTTACAACTCCCTATAGAAAATGCATTCTATATAACGTCGTGGCTCGTTGGTTTTATCGATTGATATTTCTACATACGGGGATCAACACATTTGGTTTGTTTATTATCCCTTTTTAGGTTGTTTGGCATCTCTAATGGGTAAACAATGTTTTCAAAGGGCATATATTTGTGACCTCTGTCTATCGCATTCATCTTCGTAGTATTAGTTCCACATGCCTGGGACCATATTATTTGGATTGGCATTCGGCTAAGCTTCAACACTAATTCTTCATGGGAGTTCAGTTCAGGCTCTGAACAACTTGACTGCGTTAACGTACCCTCCAACCACCTCTACATTGGAAACATGTTCCTCAAATGATATTACAAGCCCTAACCTCTCTGCTCCACAAGGATTTGGTCAGATTTTCAGGCCAATATATCCAACAGAAACACAAGAATTTGTATTTCTTATGGGACACAGATGTAATGTATATTTGTTTTCAATTTTCATTTGATGTAGAATGTGTCATCTCTGGTGGCACGTCCGTGCCTCGTATATTGACCACACAACCCAATGAAGCCATTCATATAGCTGGAATCCAAATTTCCATCACACCCCCAAGTTAATTGCCGTAAACTAGTCGAATCAAATTTGAATATTTGTTGACCTCGATTCAACTCAAAAAGTTTAAAATTGAGTTCCATTCAACTCGAAAATCTACTAGCTTAAAATTATCAAGCTCAACTCGAACTCGAAATTAAAAATTGAAAGTAGAATTGAATTCCAAAAAAAAAAATCTTGAAACATTTTCAAACTTAGCTCGATGGAAGCTCGAACTTGAACTTGAATCTTAATCTTAAATGCATAAAAACCTTATATTGCATTACGTATAAATGTTAACGTAACACCCCAAATTCCAGACTAGTAGTTTCAGGTTTACCAGAGAAGCATGCGGACCTCACGAATTTTATAATTTAAGTCTTTGGACTTAATTGGGTTGAAAATGGGCCCAATTAGCCATATAAAGGAGATTTTTAAATGGAAGAAAGACGAGGAAGAATTAAATATGCAATTCCACTCTTTTTAAAAGATGAAGGCTTTTTATCTCTTGCATCTCATTCTTCTCTTCATTTTCTTCCTTCTCATTTTTCCTCTCCAAGTTCCATAACACAAAGGTAAGTTCTTGAGCCCTTTTCATACTTCAATTTCTTTCATAATCCCCCCAACAACATCGTTTTAATGATTCAAGTCTTGGGTTATTCCTTGCTAAAGAAAAAGTGAGGGTTTTCATCCAAATCACAAAGGAAATGAGTGTGGCTAAGCAAGGAGCTTCATTTTGGGATTTAAACATCAAGACAATGTATTTCTAATCCTTTAGAGTGTTAAGGCTTTCATAAGCATGATGATTTGTTAAGATTTTGGTATTTGAGCATTTTAGGGTTTCATACTTGATTCATGCCATAGATGACATATTTGATGTTAAGCATGTGTTTTTATGACACTTTAAGAACCTAAGTAACTTTCTAAAGCTTTAACACATGATTAGGAACCAAACTAAGACATTTGGGATTATTCACTACATCAAAACAGGCTTTTTACAGTGTTTTTTTTACCTTTAGCGGCGTTTATAAGCGCCGCTAAAAACACATGTGGCGTTAAGACAAACGCCGAGAAAATCGCCATTGAAAATAGCACCGCTAAAGTTCGCGACGTTTTTTAACAAAAAACGCCGCAATAGGTATTGATATTTAGCGGCGTTTGTGTGACAAATGCCGCAATAGGTATTGATATTTAGCGGCGTTTGTCAGAAAAACACCGCAATAGGTGTTGATATTTAGCGGCGTTTTTTAGACAAACGTCGCAATAGGTTATGATGTTTAGCGGCGTTTTTCTCTAAAATGCCGCAGTAGGTGTTGATGTTTTGCAGCGTTTTCCCATAAACGCAGCAGTAGGTGTTGATGTTTTGTGGCGTTTTCCTACAAACGCCGCAGTAGGTTTTGATGTTTTGTGGCGTTTTTGCTAAAAACGTCGGTACAAGTCTGTATATAGCGGTGTTTGTTTCTAGTATAAAAACGCCGCTAAATGTATGGTATATTGCGGCTTTTTTGTTACAAACATCGCTAAATAACACAGAATTTAACAGTCCTAAAAATTATGCTTGATTACCCCAAAACTGTTTTTTCAACCTGTTCCATTATCCAACAAACAAAACAATAATAACATCAAACTCTATATTCATAACAAACAACATCAAATCCAATATAATAAATAAAAGTTTTCGTTAACGTAATATAAGTTCAGTTAAACAAGGTTCAGTAGAATGCTCATAAGATAAATGAGACTACGATGGTGGATTATGAGGTTGCGTTTTTTGAATCATCAGCATCATATCATTGAGTCGTTTTTTAAATTCTTCACATCTCTGTTGATATGCTGCTTCTCTCTGTGCTGCCGCTGTTTCTTTCTCTACTTCCCCTGCTGCTCTGGCGGCTTCTGCTGCTGCTCTTTCTGTTTCCCTTGCTTCATTTTCCGCTTTCAAGTTAGCCATTTGTTGATCCATCTCAGCCAACTTTTCTTTTAAACGACAAACTTCTTGGTGGGAAGATCGAGACTGTGATGACATGTACTGTGATGAACTGGATCCAAAATATTTGGTAGGAGTAACGAATGATCCTTGACAGCGCACTCGACCATATCTTTCAGGACCCAAAACGTCATTAATAACTTGATTTTCAATGTCATCATCATTAACAATACCTTGACTCGAAGCAGTAACATGATACTCCGCCTTTTTCTCCCTCAATTTTTCCTAATAAAGTGAATAATTAATTAAAATAAAAAATTTCATGGTACAAATATAAATAAAGTCAGGTAAATTTAAAACATCTACCCAAAAAACATATCATAATTTCTACAGCGTCAGCAGTCATAGGAGTGCCATCCTTCTTCGTATGTGTCATGTCGAAGAGTTAGATTCGACCAACTTTAGAACCGGATGTATTTTCCTACAATGCACCATAATATAATTACTATGAGTTAGTATGTACATGGAAAGGAAAAAACTATTTCAATAATCTATAATACCTCCTCATGAGCTATACAAGCAAAACTCTTCGATCCAGCCATGTGCGTAAACTTTTTTTGTTTCCTGCTAGCAACACCAATATGCTCTCGGTCCTACAACGTCAAACAACCACTTTTAATGATGATTTATAATTCGTTACAATTATTTCTGAAAAATACATCATACCTGTCTTTTTTATGAACTCTAAAATCTGACTGCATCTTCCCATTGGTACCTGAGCATTCCTGGTGGGACTGTTTGCAACTTCTCTTCAAGGCTGAGATCATTCTTGAAGTATTTCTTCTTTAAGGAGCTCTTGTGATCCCTCCATCTCTTCCCTAACGTTTCCTTCACATAATCGTCAGAGACCTCTAAAGAAAATTTCTCCTATACAATAAATAAGTGTGCACCGTAAGTATAAATTAGTATTGAATTTCTATAGAGTATGTATTATAATGACATTATTACCTTAACAAAATCCAAAGCTTGATTTTTGTTACTATTAGGCATTTCACGCCATGACTCGTAATTGATCGGTAACAGATTCGTATTACGTCCAACTATGCCTAAGTAACCTGCTAGAAGACGTGATTATGGGCCAATAGGTTGACCGACATCGTTTCTTGAAACTCTGACACGATGCCCAAGAGGAAGTTTGTATAATTCATTCAAAGTTGTACGTCCTCGAGTCTTGCGCGTTCCAACATTTTCAACTATATGAGAAATTATTAAATGCCAGTTTTGAAAATGAACAAAGTAGTAAATAATGTTTCGAAGATTACTTTGAATTTCTACGTCTTCTTCAACAGTTTTTGAAACTTCGGAAGACTCAGGTGCATTCGATTCCTCATTATTTATTTCTTCATGGTCTTCATAAGCTCGAACAACCTGCAAATCATTTATTTTTCTCCTCGGCATGATATCTATAATAAACAAACATGAGTAATAAAAAATGAATTAATTAATGAAAATATTGAAAGACAAAATGTTAAAGGTTATAACATTATAAATAAATAAATGAAGATATAAAACCGTACAAAAGTCTTATATAATGTCAGTTGTCATAAATATTTTTATCAAAGTCCTCCCGAACCCATTGAAATTGTGTTTTATTACTGATAGTTTCATCTAAGTTTTGTGGTAGTAGAGGTAAATTTTCTTATATTGTTTCAATGTCATCTCTACTTCCATCCCTGATGTCTATCAAGTCTCTGGGAGTATTTCGAAGCACAACATACCAACCATCATTCATTGGATTGTGACAATAAAATACTTGTTTCACTTGAGAAGAAAATACATATGGTTCATCCATTAAATGTTGACCCGTGTGAATTAATCGAGAGAAATTCACCATTGTAAACCCGAATTTATCTCTTTTTATACATCTATTTACATCAACCCAGTCACACCGAAATAACAGAACCTTTCGTTTTCCATAATAATCTAACTCAATAATGTCCGTAAGATTTCCATAATAATCGACCTCTCCCTCCTGCGGATCATTGTCCCTTACAGTAGCATAACTTGTAGTTGACGAAGTAACTACGACTCCACAATTTTGTGTCCTTATTAATCTTTCATGAGATTTCGTGTGGAACCTGAACCCATTAATGAGGAAGGCATTATATCTTTTAACTATTCTATTCAGACCTTGAGAAAGCCATTTAACTTCTTCACTAACTTCTCTCCCACTCCAAACCTATTATACATGAATGGTGAATTAATTTGCATTGACGTCGATATAAAAAGACGTATATAATTTATAAGTGTTCCATAAGATTTAGTTGCTTACCGTCTGGCCTAACCATTCATGAAAAGTTTCTGTGAATAACTTATGTAGCTCTCACTGATTTAATCTTCGGGACCGTGCTCGAGATCTCAATACTTCTTTAAACTCACTATAAAGAATATTATGTCGTTAAAAATTGATAAATATAAAAGATAAAGAGATTTCATTAGGATTGGGTCCGAAAGACTTACGTGCGAAAGAGATCTATTGAATCGTGATGGAAAAAAACATATCGATGTCCTTGTACCCAAGACGTGCCATCTAAGTGTGTAATTTTAACTTTCCCTAATGGTTGATCATAACTTCCAAAGAAATAATGTTGAGGTAAGTCATCAGTACTTAACACATCATTTCGATTTGGTATATTCCATCTTGTTTCAACATCTTCCAAATATCTAGAGCAAAATGTCATATATTCCTCTGCCAAATACCCTTCAGCAATTGATCCTTCCGGATAACGCTTATTACGACAATAAGACTTCAACTTGCCCAAGAACCTATACACAAAACAACATACTACGTAAATATATTTGAGTGAGAGGTATAATCAGTAGTAATTTGAAACGTGTAATTCAAATAACACCTCTCTATAGGGTACATCCATCGATAGAAAACTGGACCACCAACTCTTGTTTCGTGAGGAAGATGAATTAGCAGATGTACCATAATTGTGAAGAATGAAGGTGAAAATATCTTCTCCAAGTTGCATAAAGTCAAGGCGACTCGATCTTGTAGTTTATCAAGTTCTTCAACCATTAGAACTTTCCCACATATGGCTTTCATTATATTAGAAAGTTTAATGATACAAGACGTCACCTTACTCGACATGCAACTGCAAACAGCTACTGGCAGTAAATCTTGCATTAATATATGATAATCATGTGACTTTAAACCATAAAGTCTTCAATCTTTAACACTGACACATCGAGAAATGTTTGATGCATACCTTTATGGGACTTTTATATCCTTCAACACCGTGCAAAACACTTCTTTTTCTTTCTTCGAAAGAGAAAAAATAGAAGGCGGTAAGAAATTTCTTCCATTTGGACGTAATTGCGGATGAAGATCATGCTGAATTCCCATGTCCACTAAGTCAAGTCGACTCTTAAGATTATCTTTAGATTTCCTGCCATCATTCAGAATGGTCCCGATAATATTCTCACAAACATTCTTCTCAATATGCATTATATCAAGATTATGTCTCAAAATCTGCTTTTTCCAATAAGGCTACTCGAAAAATATACTCATCTTTTTCCACAAGTCTACCTCGTTTGGATCATCCTCTTTATCAGACTCATCATCAGTTTGTTCGTCAACTTCAACCTCTTCATTGACTTGCTTTGCCTTTTTCTTTGATCGTGCACTACTTGGTTGATTCATCTTTCCATAAGTAAAATTGATATTTTTCAACATTCTGAATATTTGAGAGCCGGTTGTTTGGTCAGGAGCATTTCGAAACTCTTCCTCACCATTAAACATATTCTTTTGACTTTTAAATCTATGATTATCAGGTAACCACCAACGATGTCCCATATAAGAGAATTTCTTTCCATTAACCAACCACTTCGAACATGTTTCTACAGCACAACAAGGACAAGCGTAACGACCTTTGGTACTCCAACCCGATAAATTTGCATACGTAGGAAAAACATTAATTGTACATAATAAAGTCACGTGTAAATTAAAGTTCTCCTTCGTCAATACATCGTACGTTTCGACCCCTTCCCATAACTTTTCAACTCTGTAATTAGCGGCTGTATATAAATATCAATATCATTTCCGGGGCCTTTATCGACGGGGATTATCATGGATAAGATGAAAGATGATTATTTCATGCAAATCCAGGGAGGCAAATTATATAGAACAAGTACAACAAGCCAAATACTATACGAAGTACTCATGATTTTGAATGGATTAAACCCATCAGTTGCAAGACCGAGCCTGACATTTTGAGGATCTCTCGCAAAACTTGGATACTTGTTGTCAAATGACTTCCAAGCTAAATAATCCGCTGGATGCCGTAATAATCCATCATCGGTTCTGCCATCATGATGCCAGCTCATAGACTCAGCAGTCTTGGAGGACATAAACAATCTTTGTAGCCTAGGTATAAGAGGAAAATATCGCAGAATCTTAATCGGTTTCTTTCTTGATTGTGCTTGAGCTTCATCCTCAGTAACATTTTCTGCCTCCCTAATCATCCATCGAGATTTTCTAGATACATGGCAAGAGTCCTGATTTTTTCGATCACCCCAATACAACATACAATCATTCGGACAACTGTGAATTTTGTCATATCCAAGACCCAAATCTTTTATCATTTTCTTCATATCTTTGCATGATTGAGGGATTTTTGCAAAAGGAAACACTTCTCCTAGTAACTCCAATAATTGCGTAAAGGAGTTACCAGTCCACCCTCCCAGGCATTTTAAGTGGAAAAGAATGCAGAAAGAAAGCTTTGAAAACTTTGATCCCTCATAAAGTTGTTCATTCATTTCATTCAGCAACTTGTAAAACTTTTCCGCTTCTCCATTTGGCTCTTTACCACTTCCAATTCTTCCCATCTCAATGAAATCATTAACATCATTCTGACAATAATTTTCTGTAACATACAGCTGATGAGTGTGCATATTAAATGCATCTCGTAACATCTCTTCTATGCCATCTTCTCTA